GTTACGCACGCAGCCCCTTAACGCAGGTAGGCGAGGTCAGTATGATGCCTGACGTTCCAGCAAGAGTCACCAGAAAAGCCGGGCGTTGGTGGCGCATGCCTTTAATCCCAGCACTCGGGAGGCAGAGGCAGGCAGATCTCTGTGAGTTCGAGGCCAGCCTGGTCTACAAAGTGAGTTCCAGGACAGACTCCAAAGCTACAGAGAAACCCTGTCTCAAAAACAAAACAAAAAAAAAAACAAAAAACAAAAAACAAACAAACAAACAAAAAAAGAGTCACCAGAAAAAGACTTAGGGAAGGTTCCCTCTGAGGAGCCTTGAGGGCTGAGGGCTGGCCACGGTGCAGCCAGGACTCTGTGCAGAGGGCAGGGAGGGGGATGGAGGGGGAGAGGAGGGGCCCTTGAGTGCACGTGTGCTAGCGGACTGCTTAAGCAGTGAGCTGGTGGTTCAGTCTCAGCGGTCTGAGCACAGGATGTGGTGCTCTAGGTGTACGCCGTACTGACACGTCCTGTGCGGGATGTGGGAACCGTTCTGCACGCCACGTACAAGGAAGGCCCATGGCTGCAGTGTGGTTTCCTTTGTGCTTCTGAGTTTCCGGCAAGGCAGTAGGTCTCACGATACTTGGCACACCTGCGTGACTAGGGATTAAGTGCAGGGCCTCATGCATGCTAGGCAAACACTCTACCCTGTGAGATACACGCTAGTCCCATTTAACAGGCTAAAGAGGCTGGCACACTGTGATCTCAACTGTTTTCAATGGGACAGCGTGAGAGGAAGGCGCCAGTGGCAACCGTGGAAAGGCCACAGCTAGTGGAGAAAACACCAAATATTTGCCCACAGATGTTCTCTTTACTCATACATGTTACACTCTCCGGAGCGTGGCCACCGTATGTACTATGTTGTATGTTGCTTCACCTCCAGCAGCATCATTGACAACACGTGCAACTCCAGTCAGCAGTTCAACACAAAGGGGTTCTGGGAGAGGGGGCACTGAGTTTCTCACCACACTGTTGTGAAAGGCCAAGTCTCCAACAGCCCAGCTGCTGAAAGAGGAGTGCCCCCCCATAGATCCGCAATGGGGAGGTTTTCAGGACGCCCGCCCGAGCTCTCAGGCTCTCTCATTTTTTTTTTAATTCTATAGCATTTCATTCCATTTTACATTATTCAGAGACAACTTAACCAGTATAATGCACGGATGGAAAATATTGAGTGCTTGCATCCCCAAGTCTAAGCGACCGTCCTAATTTTAGTCTAAGAAGATTTGAGATGGGAAAACGAGCGTGATTAAACCCCAGTGGGGGTTTGGGAAGAGTGGCGCCACCACAGACCCTCACAATAGCTCACTCCATGCAATAGGCTAATGAAATCATGTACCTGCTACACAGTGTGTTTTCTGGAAACTGAAAACGCACTTACCATCTCTGCAGTTGATGTGCCAGGCATTTTTCCCCCTATGGTGAAGAACATTAAATTAAAAAAAAGTGTATTTGTTATATCTTTTTAACTTGCTAGGAAAAGAATGTGCCGGTGCTCCGTGGTAAAGAACGTATAGTTCTCCTGGGAGAAGTTATCCTCCTCTCCAGGTTAGTAAGATGTTCAGAGAGGAGAATGACAGCATGGCTTTGGTGCTGGCGGTGAGGGGGGTTCATGTGTTTGGGGCCCGCTGACTGTGGTTAACATAAAGGATAGTTGACGTGGTTTTCTTAGAAACTTGCATGGGAGATGCCTCTAAACCATTGGTTCTCAACCTATGGGTCGAGACCCCTTTGGGGCCAAATGACTCTTTCACAGAGGTCACCCAAGACCATCCTGCATTTCAGGTATTTGCATTATAACTGGTAACAGTGGCAAAATCACAGCTATGAAGTTAACAACGAAAATAATTTTATGATTTGCCGGGGAGTGGGGTGGGATGGGGCTGTCAATGCAGATAAATGTGTCTTGAAGACAATATCCACTGCTCCTCAAAAGGAAAATCCTTTTAGGGACTAGGTACAGACCAGTGAGTGACAGTGCGCTCAGTACGGGCAGAGTCTTGTGTTCTGGACTCAACATTAAGAGCGAGAATCCTGAGTCTACAATCGCCCTCACTGATCTACTTCCAGTCACAAAGCCCCAGATGTTCACTGTTCCCGGGGCTGAGGTCGCAGAAAGCCCTGAGTTTGGTCCGCAGTTCCCCAACTGGACATCACAGTGCAGGTCCGTGATCCAGTACTGAGAGGTAGAAGGAGGAGGTTCAAGGTTATCCTCTACGTAACTGTGAGGCCAACCTGGGCTACAAACCACATCTCAAAACAAGACAGCAGCCAAAAACCCTTCAGTGTTTCCTCCTGAAGCTGTTCTGATTTAGGCTTTTGATTCTACTACTTTGCAGGAATCATGCTTGCCCGGGTCAGCACGGTTCCTGGTGGTCCCCAGTTGCCCTCTCAAAGGCACACTTTGCTCTGTGGTGCCTCTTGCTCTTTCCTAGACTTCTTGTGTCCTGATGCTCGTCCTTCTGCATGGTCTCTTTATCTAGATGCCTAACAAGCATTTTAATACATTCCCAACTAGACTCAGTGTTTACCATGCAGTTTTGATTTCTCTGCATACAAGTGAATGTTCAGGCCAAAAACCTTTTCATCTTTAATTCCTTTTCTCACAGTTTGCAACACATTCTTTTAAAATACTATCGTTATTATGACGATTTGAACAGGTATGGCCCCCCATAGACTCATGTGTTTGAACGTTTATCCCTCAGGGAGTGACACTGTTAGGAGGTATGGCTTTGTTGGAGGAAGTGTGTTACTGTGGGGACAAGCTTTGAGGTCTCATATGCGCTCAAGCTACACCTCTCTCCTTCTGCTGCCTGCAGATGCAGATGTAGGACTCTCAGCTCCTTCTCCAGCACCACGTCTGCCTGCACACCATGTCCTGCTATGACAATAATAAACTAAACCTCTGAAACTGCAAGCCAGCCCCAATTAAATCTCCTTCGTGAGAGTTGCTTTGAACATGGTGTCTCTTCACGGCAATAGAAACCCTAACTACAACAATTATTATCACTATTATTTATGTGTATACCTGCTCACCTGCATTTCTATATGTACACCATGTGTGTGCAGTACCTGTGGAAGCCAGAAGAGGGCATTGAATCCCCTGGAACTGGAGGTATAGGTAATTGTGAGCTGGTGTGGGATGCAAACCTGGCCACCTGCAGGCATACCAACAGTTCTTAACCACTGCCAACCTCTCCAGCCCCTACAATCAATTTTTGTGATCAAATCCTTTCAACACTTCTTTCAAAATTGAGCATTGGGGCCCAGAAATGCAGGTAAACATGGCTGTTGCACTAGTCTAGAGACCAGAGTTTGGTCTCCAGAACTCACATATGGAAGGAAAGAACTGACTCCATGAAGTTGTCCTCTGACCTCCACATATACATCATGGCATATACTCTACCCATTGCAATTTAAGAAAAGCAGCGCTTGAGAGAAAGACAACATGAGACAGAGTTCAAGAAGAAGGGGGTTTATTATGGAAAGGGATCATAAAAAAGGGGAAGGGGAGTGGGGAGACTGGCCTCCGGAGACAGGAGCAGCAGGAGAGAGGAGAAAGGGAAGAGGGGGAGAGAGAGGAAAGAGGAGGTGAGGGAGAAGGAGAGAGAGAGAGCAGAACAGAGAGGGGAAAGAAAGAAAGAGAGGGGAGGACAGGAGGTGGGCAGGGTTCTTTTAAAAGGGAACATAGTGAGTGTGCACAGGTGGTGCTCTTAGTGGCTGCAGCTGAGAGCGTGTCCTGTCAGAACCGCAAGGACAGACCAGTACAGATGCCTGAATACTAACAGTACCCCCGAACAACAACAGCAATAATAAATAATACCATCTAGTATCAGAATCTAATCTCTTCCCAGCACATCCACTGACATCGCCCTGGTTGAAATCATACACATCTCACCTGAGGGATTGCAGCAGCCCCAAACCACCGCTGCTTCTGACTCTGCTCCCTACCTTGAAGGGCCTTTGCAACACTCTGAGCAGAGTGTGCCTGTCACAGCTTGAGTCGGGTCACGGGATTCAAACTAGGGATCCTGATTTTTAAAAAAATTTAACTACAGGAGATGACATTTTATTTTTCACACTTTGCAAAACAAAACAAACAAAAACAAAAAAAAAACCCAACCCACCTTTTTTTTTAACCACTTTGACACTTCAAACCTATTCTCATCGATGAGCAAGGGGAGGAAATCTCCCTAGTTACCCTGTAAGAAACAGTCACAGCCCCATGCCCTCCCGGTGAACAAGACAAAGAACACAAATGTGATAGAAAGAGACGTCTCTTCTGTGCCTGTCTGACTGGCACTATCCCTGGGATGAAAAGGAGGTAGGTCTCAGTCACGGTAGGTCTGGGCATCGTCATGGGCGTGTGGTCTCCCATGGGGAGCTTCGTGCCAAGAGTTGGTCCACAGCCTCAGGAGGAAAGTCTACCTTTGGCATCACGGAGGGCCTGGCCTCCATGTGGGGTGCTGACACCATACCAAGGTGAGGGAGGCCTGGGGAGGGGGAGGTGGGATTGTTGTGCCTTCAGGAGGATGGGTAGACATTGGAGCTAGAGGCACCCTTCTTCCGTGAAATGTAGCCATTGCATTGCCAATCAGACTCAGCCTGCTCCTCTGTTCACTTCTCATAGTCTTTAAATTCCCTTCGTGCTTCCTACCACTGCAACGTGTCTTCCTCACAGACCGGAGAGTCGGAGGTGAGCTATGTGTCATGGTTACAATCATACTTGGTCATGTCGCTCTGGCTATTGGCCACTCCTATCCACGGTGTCGGGAAATTTCCAGTCTCGTTCTCCACAGTCCTACGGCCTCCTCCATGTGTCTAAGGAGGGTACGCTCCCCTCTGAGGGCAGTAGCAGGAGAGAGCATGGAAACAGTCTGTGGAATCAGGACTGGAGTAACAGGTAGGAGTAGATGGACCTAAGAGAGCGCTGCATCATGGGAAATGCCATAGGTAAGGTCTCCAAAGCAGTTAGTCTCATGGTGGTTTGGATCTGTTGGGGATGGGGAGGGGACCTTCACAGTAGAGACCACTAGGAAAGAGGGATGAGAGTCAGACGGCGGAGGCTCTAGCCTGCCGTGCTCAGGACTTTGGCCTTTATCCGGCATTTTCCAGGAAACTCGGACGTCCAGGGAGTGGGAGTAAGTCTGCAATTCACTTAGCATAGTTATCTCAGCTGCCTGCCAAGTAGTCTATTTAGTCCAATTCACAGGCAGAGCTTTGTTGAGCATTGAGAAGTCGCTTGCTCCGTGTGAATCCAATCACCGCGGCAGGCACACCTCAAAGAGGGAACACACAGCCGCCTCTGAAAAGCCTGCCCCACACTCAGGCGGCTCAATTCATGAATATGCCTTTCCGACGACCGACGCCGCTGCTTAGCAAAGATATTATGGGACAAATCCTTGATTTGACCTTTTGTAACCCTATCCATCCCACTGAGCTAAAAGCAATTATGTGCATCTTGTGTGTGGCGGTTGGAACCGGGAGTCACTTAGCGACGGATCCTTTTCACACCCCAACTGTCCTCTCCTCCATTCCTTTTCCTCTCTCACAAGGCTGGCACAGCAGGCCTCCACTGCTGCTTGGCAGAGTCTGAAATGGCGTTAGGGGGAGGCGAGCCTGGAAGTAAACAGGTGGAAACAGTTCCTGTCACAGTGATTAGCATTGTCCTTGGGCAGGCACAGCGATGGGTGAAGGGGTAGGGCTCTGAGGGGACAGGAAGGAGAAAGCTGGCGGCGAGGGGGGGAGGAGTAGGAGCAGAAAAGGATGAACTCATTGTCAAAGGCACCAACAACTTTCTAGAAGAACTTCCTAAAGAGCAAAGCCATCCTGGTGGCATCAGCGTTGGTGGCATTGGTCTCTGCTGGGGACAGATGACCTGTCAGATTTATAATATGTGTGGAGGCATCAACGCATGACAAGTGTGATTGACTCTGTGTGACTGCATGTTAAAAATGACAGTTTCAAGCGTGTGACCTGGGAGAATAGACTCGCTATACTTAGATGCCCCACAGAACATGCTGGTGTGTGTGTGTGTGCATGTATCTTAGGGTGTATCTACACAAGATTCGTGCATGCAAGCATGGCTGAGTGAAAGCCTTTACTAGGTGTGGCATTGTCCTCCCTCTGCACATGTGAATGGGTATGATGAAATGGTGTGTGGAAGAGAGCGCCCCCGTAGTCTTCAAGGGAGCTGCTCAGCTTGGCTACTGGTACCCTGGCCAGAGGGAGTGCCAGGACCCACAGAGACGGCTCTGCTTCATCTTGACTTAAGGTCAGAGAGTTCAAAACTGACCTTACTCTTCCAAGGTGAAAGTCATAGGATGTAAAGGTCTAAGGCCTGGCTGCTGTAGGATGTTTGATCTTGGTCATGGATGTCTCATCTAAATAACAACAGATTTGGTCTGAGGTATGGTTGCTCATGACCCTCAAGGCCAGATAAGGAGAAATTTAGTCTTAGGTGTGGTTACCAAATGTTTGGAGAATTAAGGAAGAAGGTATGTTTCTTCCCTGTATCTTGACAAAGAAGTCTTTTGTCATGTTCCCCTTTTTGGTTTGGTTATTTAAGAATGTTGAAGAATAAATTTAGGGCCTTCAGTGTTCACTGGATTGCCCTCCAAACTCTATTCTGTGTCTCTGTCTTTTTCTTAGTTTCTTTACCTGCTGTTTCTCAATCCACACCCCCCCTCTCAGGTACGAACCACACAAGTCGACTGGATCCAATTGAAGCCCCACAAAGATGGATTGCAACAGGGGAGGAGCTCCGATCTTGTAAAGGGTCTGGAATTCTCATCCTTCCAGGACAGATACACCCTCCACTCAGATACCACGCCTCCCAAACTCCATTCCTGCTTGTAGCAGGGAGACCCTGGAGCTAGGGAGATGTCCAGGAACAACAGGGCAGGGAGAACGCTACAGGTGAGAACCAGGAGAAACTAGGGATCTTTTTTTTTTTAAGTTTTAAGGTTTTTGTCTTGATTTGATTTGATTTTTGCTTTTGTTTGTTTTGACACAGGGTCACTCTGTAGACCAGGCTGGCCATAAACTCACAGAGATCCTCCTGATTTTACCTCCCAAGTGCTGGATGAAAGATGTATACCACTCTGCCTAACTGTTAAGATTTATTTTATTTTTAATTCTCTCTCTCTCTCTCTCTCTCTCTCTCTCTCTCTCTCTCTCTCTCTCTCTCTCTCTCTGTGTGTGTGTGTGTGTGTGTGTGTGTGTGTGTGTGTGTGTGAGTGTCTATGGAGTCCAGCAGAAGGTGTTGGAGCCCCTGGAGCTGGAGTTACAGGTTGTGAGCTGCCTGACTGCTGCCGGGAACTGAACCTCAGTCCTCGAGAAGAGCAACAAGTGCTCTTAATCACCGTTCCAGTCCCTTTCTGAGCCTTTGGCTAGAAACAATTTACATCAGGGAAGGTGAGCTGGACTCTTGGGCAGGAGTCGAAGGCAGGCAATGAAGTAATAATGAGAGCAATGTAAAGCAGCCGGCTTCTAGCCCAGACTCGTCCCTGCTCGGGTGGAGATCCAGCTAGGAAGGGCAGGAACAAGGGTAGGCTATCATGTAAGTGGTCTTCCTTTTCCTCTGACAGATTACCTGGGGAGATCTACTTAAAGGAAGGAGAGGAGTTAAGTCGACTCACAACCTCAGAGGTTCCAGTCTACAGTCACAGGAGCCCATTGCTCAGGACCTGTGGAGAGACATGGATGGAACAAAGCTGCTCACTTCTTGAAAGCCAGGGAGCAAGCTCGCATTTTAATAACTCCCCAAACCCCATTAAACTGCGAATCCGCTGATGGATTAACCCACTTATGAGGTTACCTCCCAAAGGCTTTAACCTATAACAAACCTATAACATTGGAGTTTGGGGGGGGGACTCAAATCCAGGCAACAAAGTGACCATGTCATCTGCGGAGGCAGAGTCCCTAATTTTACAGGCAGCATTGATTGTGGATGCTAGTCACAGTTAAGTTTTGTTGTGCCCAATTTCTGAACTCCCAAATCATCAAGAGACCCATTCTGATGCAAAAGTAAAGAATCTTTTATTATTTAATGAGTTAACTGTATTAAATCGGTCCCCTGTCCATCCAACACAGCAGTTGGTTCGAGAAGGACCTGGAGAGACTGTGAGGCAAGGAATTTATTGGGGTGAGCAAGAGGAGTGTCTAGGGGCCTGTAACAGTCTGATTGGTATGATTCTGGGCTTGAATGACCTGTCCTGTGTTGATTGGTCATCTGGTTGCTATGGCCTATAGGCCCTCCCAGGGAGGTTGCTATGCTCTGTAGCACATCCAGAGCCCACCAGCTAACTTTGGATCGGTCTCTTGCTACATGGAGGGTATCTGACCTCCTAGTGACTGGGGCAGGTCCAGCAAGGTCAGAAGGCTGGAAACTCAGCACATGCTGCTGAGTCAGAGGCCTACATCTTGCTGGGTCTTTTCTGCAGCTTGTCATGGCTACCAAAGCAGGGGCTGGGTGAGGGTCTGGTCCCTTCAGTTTGTTACCCAAACGCAGTCCCAAATGGTGGTATTTGCTGGAGTTGGCAGCATCTTGTTACTCCAGCTACCAATCGGCCGCCTGTGACCTGGCACGGTCTCAGCACCCACTGCAGATCACCTCTGGGCCTCTCAGATGATTCTTGAAGCAGGGAGGGTGTGATTAAACCTCAGGGTCAGACCAGTTGCTTTTAAAATCATCCAAAGGGCTTACTCAAACAGACCTTTCATGATTGAACCCTGATTGTTCATTGTGTGCAAATCAGAAGAGAAAATAAAATTGTCCATGAGAGCATAACATAGAAATAGCCAACACTGAACAGGTTGCTTCGTAGCTTCCCAGATTGTTTCCAGGTATCCACACCTACATATGGACCTATAAGTTAGTTTTCACTACTTTTTTCACTTACTAATCTCCCATGTGTGCCTGATAGTCATTCGGTCAGGCATACATACATACACATAAAAAATAAAATTGAAAACTAAAAACATTAGCTAAATAAAATACAAATATAAATATATTTGTATTCATATAGGGCTGTGTAAACAGATATCAGGAGCTCAGGGCATGCTGCTGAGTCAGGGGCCTGTGTCTTGCTGGGTCTTTTCTGCAGTCTGTCATGGCTGCCAAAGCAGGGGCTGGGTGAGGGTCTGGGACCTTTGCAACAAGCTCCAGAGATCTGCCTTTCCCCCCTTCCCATCTTAACACTGCTGGGAGTACAGGAATGGGCAACCTCATCTGGTTTTTTATGTGGTTTCTGCAGACCCAAATTCAGGTTCTCATGCTTGTAAACCAAGCACCTTATGGCTTGAGCTAGCTCTCCAGCCTCTTCAATGGGTGGTTTTGTTTTATTTTGTTTGTAGGGGGGTATGGATTTTTTTTAACTCAGTGGTAGTTTGGTAAAGTTCAGGGGAGCAACACCACTATTAAAGATTGTACAAGGCTGATTGACTGATTTAGAAATTCATGATTGGGAACACTCCTCCACTGCTGGTAGGAGTGCCAACTTGTACACCCACTTTGGAAATCAGTATGGAGATTCCTCAGGAAAATGGGAACCAATCTACCACAAGACCCAGCAATTCCACTCTTAGGCATATATCCAAAAGAGGCAAATTCATACAACAAGGACATCTGTTCCACTATGTTCATAGCAGCATTGTTTGTAATAGCCAGAACCTGGAAGCAACCTAGATGCCCCTCAACTGAAGAGTGGATAGAGAAAATGTGGTACATTTACACAATGGAGTGTTACTCAGTTGAAAAAAACAATGGAATCTTGAAATTTGCAGGCAAATGGATGGCACTAGAAGAAACCATCCTGAGTGAGGTAACCCAGTCACAAAAAGACAAACATGGTATGTACTCACTCATATTTGGATTTTAGACATGGATCAGGATAGTGCCAGTCTGCACTTCCACTGACAGAGAGTCTGGGAAACAGGAAAGAACCTAAGATAGATATGCATGGTATCCCAGAGAAGAGGAATGAGGCAAGATCTCCTGAACAGATTGGGAACATGGTGGGAGGTGGGGGGGGAGTGGGAGCTGCGAAGAGGGGGAGAAGAAGAGGAGAGAGTTGGTCATGGGGGAACAGGAAGGTTGAGTAGGGGGGTAGAATAGGGGGAAGAGGGAGTCATAGGTTAGAAGACAGATCAGGCACCAGAGTGACCTCTAGTGATCTAAAAGGATGACACCAACTGGCAAGCTAAGCAATAGTAGAGAGATTACCTTAAATGTCCATTCCTGATAATGAACTTGATGTCTACCTTATATGCCATCCTAGAAGCTTCATCCAGTGACTGATGGAAGCAGAGGCAAACACCCACAGTTAAACACTGAACTGAACCCATGGGACCCAGTGACAGAGAGAGAGGAGCAATGAGCAAATTGGCAAAGAATGGGCTGGCAAAACGAGCAGAGACAGCTGATCTGAACAAGGGGGGGGCTCCTGGACCCCAGACTGACAGCTGGGAGGCCAGCATGGGACTGATCCAGACCCCCTGAGTGTGAGAGTCAGTGAGGAGGCCTGGGCAACCTATGGGGCCCTGGGCAGTAGATCAGTGTTTATCCCTGGCATACAAATGGACTCCGTGTGTCCATAACACAAAGAGGGATGCTCTCTCAGCCTGGTCTCTTAGGGGAGTGCCTGGACCCTGCCCTGAGAGAAATGACAGACTCTGGATATCCCCTATGTGGAAGGAAGTAGGGATAGGGTGGGAGGCTAGGGGGGATGGTGGGGGAATGTGGGAGGAAGGGAGGGAGAGGGAACTGGGATTGACATGTGAAGCAAGCTATTTAAAATTAAAGTAATAAAAAAAGATTTTTTTCAGACAAAAAAAAAAGGGTTTTATGATTGGAGGACTGGTTCAGTAGTTAAGAGCACTGGCTGCTCTTCCAGAGCTCCTGAGTTCAATTCTCAGCAGCCACATGGTGGCTCACAACCATCCATGATGAGATCTGTGCCCTCTTTGGGCCTGCAGGCATACATGCAGCTAGAACACTGTATACATAATAAATAAATCGGAAAAAAAAGAAAGAAAGACATTCACAATTGGCTTGGTGGCAGTGCATGCCTTTAATCCTAGCACTAGGGAGGCAGAGGCAGATGGATTTCTGAGTCCAAGGCCAGCCTGGTCTACAGAGTGAGTGCCAGGAGACAGCCAGTGCTACACAGAGAAACCCTGTCTTGAACCACTCCCCCAACCCCCCAGTAAAAAGAAGTTCACGATTGTACGGAGTGTAGTGTCACACTCCTTTAATCCTGACACTCGGAAAGCGGGTCTCTTCGAGTTTGAGGTTTGAGGCCAGCCTGGCCTACAGAGTGAGTTCCAGGACAGCCGGAGCTACATAGTGGGACCCTGTCTAGGAAAAAAAAAGTTCATGATTGTGAAGAGTTAGATTGTTGTGACTCCAAAATCAAACTTGCTTCCCTTAAAGTTGTTTAACATAACATCCTCTTGACTATAAAGTAAGAACTTAAAAATGTGTTCTCAGCGTCCAGTACTCTCAAAGCTAAGCACCACATAAAGTGGTGGGATTTCCCCACTTTCTTATAGCACCCTTTACCTGTGGATATTTGATAAATGCCTTCATTTATTACTGGTTTGTAACCACTTCAGTGATGGAACTTGTCTTTTTGGGCAACTGAATCTGTTTCTGGGTTATGGTCACTCATATTTGGCTCCAAATAAACCTTCACCTATTCCTTTTTTGGGGGGCGGGGTTTCCAAGACAGGGTTTCTCTGTGGCTTTGGAGGCTGTCTTGGAATTAGCTCTTGTAGACGAGGCTGGTCTCAAACTCACTAAGAGCCTCCTGCCTCTGCCTCCTGAGTGCTGGGATTAAAGATACGAGCCACCACCGTCCTGTCACCTATTACCTTTAAGGTAAGGGCTGTGTCCTGCATTGACAGGGTTGCCCTGCATACATGAGACCCTGGGGTCAGTCCCCAACACGAGATGATAGGTGATGAGGGAGATCAATGCAATATGGAATATAATGTATTTATTTACCAGAGAAAGAACTCACAGACAAGCTGAAAGGTCAGATCCGTGGCAGGCTTCCAAAGACAGACAGTACTTTTTCTTTCGCTTCCTTTTACCTTACCTGTGCCTGTACCTTTGTCCACGCCTCTTTTGGGTGTGGACTATTTTGTGAGCCCACCCCTACAGATGGGTGATGATTTTT